GAAAGAGGTTCTTTCAGCTTCAGTATGTAATGTGTATTTAGAGGTGGGAAATTGTAAAATCATGCATGCTTTTCCAATACAGATAAAAATTATAGGAAAATGCCCCCTACCTTTCAAAAAAGAAAGATGCTTGTGGCTGAAGAGCAGGTTACCTCCAGTTACAAAACTTAGGTGGCAATTTTGTCTCTGTCACTAATTCCCTGCAAGTTTTTTTGGGGTTCTGTTGTTCCTGTTCATAGATAAAGTGATATCTACATCCTCTTTTGTCTCTAAAATGTTTCTAATATTATTTTTCATGCATTACTATTTGACTAATAGGATGGTACAAGGCAAACAGTTCCACTTTTGTAAGATCTGACGTCTGTTCATTATATACATGTACATCTGGAATCTCTTAGTTCACATGCATGCAGTTAGGTCCCTACACCTCTATATAGGAACCAGAAAGAATGGCATGGTTTTTAGTAAGTTTTTCAGCCTTAAAACCCAGAATGTGGTTGAGTCTTTGGGCTGCTAATGCTCACCCCAAACTGTGTATGATTTTAACTTGTGTCTTATAAATATAGTGACGTTGTGCTGTGGTTGCTGTAGATAATTAGCTTGCTCATAACCATCTTTCATGCAGATCATCTTTCTATGACAAAGGTAAATGGAGGAAGAAACAGAACAGAATTTACTGTAAATAGGCTAAGTAAAATGTATACAAAAATATTTTTTGTTACATTGTCATTTTATATTTTAAAAATTCTTCTAGGCTTGGCAGCTAATGTTCAGTGTTTTCTTTAATTTCATGCTATTTTATGCTCTCTGCTGATTATTTTTATGCAGCTATTTGTGTCTGTGTGAACCTTGTTAAAATAAATTGCTGCTTTTATGTGAGAAACTCAAAAGCAGTTCCCAAATTAGCCTTGCAGGATTGTTTGTAAGAACTTACTGATACATGCACAAGATGGGTTTTTTTTCCATTTCTGCCAGTATTTAATAATACTGCTCTGGGTTGTTCATATTTAGTCAGAATGTGACACAAATTCGTGTGTTTTTTAAAAAATACTTGGTTTGCTTAGATAAACTCCTTTGTGGCAGCAGATAGCTAAAGCAGTTGTTACCTAATACAGACGTGTTTCCAAAAGCAGAAAGTCCATGGGGGAGACAGGGAGTGGTGAAGATTTGGTCATTTGCCAAAGCAGAGGTAGAAAGCTAAGGCGGCAGAGGGTGAATGAAGTTCGAAGGAAAACAGTTGAAGCAAGCCCTGGAGAGACCAAGAGAGAGAAATTGATTCTCTTTGACTTACTGCTGATAGAAAAAGGGCCGGAGACTGCAGGCAAAAGAGGAGCTGTATGGGTTTGCTCCCCACATGCTGTTTTCTGAGTAACAAGTCGTTGTATCACAGAAGCACCCACTTCCCTGCTCAGGTTCAGCCCTATGTCCTCATGGAGGCAACCTGCCACACAGGTTGCTCTGTGCCAAAGTGCTGAATGGCCCCTTTCCAGTGTATCAAAGTAAATTACCAATGGCTAGTAGATGAATGGTATTTTTTTAAAAAACCACAAAACTCAAGACTTTATTAAAAGGACTTTAACTTCTCATACAGAGATAAAAATCATCAGTTCACTTTTTCAACTATCCCTTGTATCTCAGAATTTACAGCTGCTGCTCTTATTTCCCGCTTCCTGAACATATGAGAAGCCAAATTGTATGTTCCCAGTCAGCCATAAAGTGTATTTGGCTCACAAAGTATAGCTTCCATTTTATCAGAAATTTTGTTAACTAATTAACTACAACATGTTGTCCATCTGTATGTGAAAATCTTCATGCAAGAGCATTTGCTTATCTTATGCTTGTCAGTAAAATGTTGCCTTTTTAACCACCATTTTGCTATTTCACCTTACCAAAACACTGCTGCTCCCTTTTCAAGAAGAAAAATGGGTGGGAGGAGGGGGAGAAAATAGAGACTGTTTATTCAGCTCAGTGGGTGTTGCATACCACTGCTTCTAGGACTTAGAATGAGTTAGCACATAACCCAAGTGAAACAACCTACTCAAACTATGCATCAGATCCGTGGGTTTCCTTTAACTTTGATGATCCTGTGCGGAGCTGGGAGATGTGTGAGGAAGATTCAGCATTTAAACCTGAGCTTACCCCAAAATAATTAAATATTGTCGAGTGTTTTTTCCACTCCTCTCACAGAGGAGAGGTATGGGTTATAGGCTTAGATCTTCTGCAAGTGACCTGCATCTTTCCAGAGCTCTTCAAGGCAGAGGTTCACTGGAATTTCTTCTCATAGTTGTGAAGGTTGCAATTACTGATTTGTGGAAGAGAGGAGAACATGGCAGTTGAACAGAGCCAGACTAGCCACACACAAGATATTGAGGTGTAAACATGTATGTGTTTTGTGTTCAATTTGTTTATTAGGCTGCTGAGTGACCCTGGGGAAGTAAACTTTCTTTTGCAGGTGTATGGGATGAGGGGGTTGGTTGTGGTTTCTTGGGTTGTTATTTTTCCCTTTGTGCTTGCCTGTTTACTATATCTGCTGTGAAAGTAGAGCTGGACCCTGAGAACTGACCATTTTTACCTTGGATCATTTCAGCATGTATCTATTATGCTGCAACAGACTGAAACATCAAGTGATTAAATCTCCATTTTCGATTAGAACATATGACTTTTGGGAAAGGAATGACTTACAGGTGCAGAAAGGTAGAAAATGAGGTTAAGAGTTTCTCTTCATTTTGTCTTAAGTAGTAGACTAAAATCAGACTGATTCCTTAACTGAATTGTTTCATGCTGAAAGGAGCCTTTTTGAGCAGAGAACTTCATTTCATGCTGTGCTGATAAGAGCACCAGCCTGGGCTGGAAGGATTTTGACGGGTAAATTTTGAGTGCATGTTTGTGGTGTTTGCAGTGCTTTGGCATTGACAGATGATCCTTGCAGCCAAAGGTGAGACTGGCTGACCCTCCCTGAGCAGTTTCCATGGCAACCTAGCATTTTGAATAATCTTGGTTTATAGGAAATCTTGTCCTTCCTCCCTTTTCTCCTAGTGTTAGTTTCCTTGGTTTTTTTCCATCATACCTTGGAGGAGTTTTATCATTTCTTGTGAGAGCTATGAATATAATCCACCATGTACACCCCTGACCTCCATTTAGAAACACTTTTCCATACTGTTTCAGGAAAAGGTGGTAACTTGAAGTATAATAAGCTATTTTTCTAATAACTGGTAATAGTGGCTGGTTGTTCTTGTCTTAATTTCTATTACTCTTATGAAACAAAACAGTTATTTAACTGATGTGTGGGCTTGTAGCAAGCTCTTGCCTCCCTTATTGCCTAGGTGAAAGTTTATAAATCTGTGTCCCTCAAAGTAAAGAGAAGCAGAATAAGTGGTTTTCATGGCCAGGTATTCCTCAGCTAGTAATGTCTGAAATGAAGAGTTCTGTCTGAACACCCAGGCACTTCTGCCAGGGAGCTTTTACCTGCTGTCATCGTATTCTTGGTAATTTATTGTCCTCTTCTGCAGGACATACTGGGCTTTTTCAAGTGTTATAGGCACTGCTGTTCTGGGTTTGACAGTGCTATATTTAAATTACCTGATTGACAGTAATTTTTATAAGATGATGTAGGTTTGTCTTATGGGTTTATAATTGGAGTTACATTCTTTTTAGTGCTTGAAGATCTCTGTCCATGTGCTCAGCCTCTTTCTTTGCCTGTAATGAATTTTACTTATTTCTCTCATTTGCTACTACCAATATGGATCTGTGGTTTGTACTGGAAAAACCAATGGTGACTTCAGCTGAGCAAGGAGATGCAAGGTTCCTCATGAAGAAAAAGCACTGCTTCAGATTTCCATTGCAGCCTTTCTTTGGTTGTTCTTTCTCTTCCAGGAAAAGGGTTTTTATTGTGCCTATGGATGCTCACATCCTATTTCCTTTCTAGGCCTGGAGGCAGTAATCAGAAATCTGCGTTTCCTTTTGCAACTTAGGGCTGTCCAATGGGAAATTTGCTTTTTTAGAGTAACCATAATCCTGATTTGACTGCACAGATCAAGCTGTTAATTTAACACCCTATTTATTTCATTTTCTTTTAAAGGGAAAAAAAAAAAAGTTTTGGATACACATAATTTTGCCTTTGTATTTTTAGGGTTGAACTTGTCTAGATGAAAAAATCTTATTCATATTGTAACATCAGGGGCTGTCTGACAATAGTGACTTTACAACTTGAGAAAGACATTTAGGAAATAAATATTTTAGTCAAATGTGTGGTGATTCTATTGAGGATGTATCTTGATTTCTGTGATACAAAGAACGCGTTATACATGTCCTCGGTCTAGCACTTGTTAGGTATGAAATCCCGAGTATGTATCTGGGTTGCTGTAAAGTTCAATAACTTGTAAATTACTCAGGCCTGTATTAAGAATGCAATTAATTACATGTAGAGGTTAGTAGGGCATTAGGCATTGGGCTTTAAAGCTACACTGTTGCACATATCTGCATGCTTTCTCTGTTTCCCCTCTTCTCCCCCTTCCCTTAACTTCAGCTAGCATATAGATTTAAATTATTTTTATTTTTAATACTGATGTTTTGAGGAAAGTATTAGTTCCAGGACTAATGTAATGCACCATCCATGAGCTTGTAATGCCTTCTTTCAAAGTGCTTAATAAAAGTAGGCTAAAACTCTCAAAAATAAGAGTCTGCAGTAAAGCTTTTAAGTCCATATTTAGGCGTCTTAAGCAAGCAACTTGATTTTAGCAAAATTACTAACTATCATGAATACCCCATGACTTCAGGCACTGTTAAAAAAATCCTGAACTTGGTCCCCAATTTGAAGAGTGAGAGAGGGTTTGTTTATGGTTTGTTGTTTGTTGGTGGTTTGGGTGTTTTTTTAATTGTGTTTTTTGTTGTTGTTGTTTGTCCTTTTTTTTTAAATGAGTTATGGGTTGCTAAGATCATTTAGGATTGTGTGGGAGATCAGCAAGGAGGACGAGCAGAATGACTTTAAATATGTGACAGCCATAGGCCTACTCTGCCTGCAGGTGTTTGCAGCAGAGCTTTGTGCACAGTGGTTTGAAGGCTATGAGCACACACGCCAGCATACCTGATGGTCTGTGTCCTCAAATGCTGTATTCGAGATGTACTTGTGTCTACAGGCATGCTTGTTTTGGGTGCAGTGGAGATCACCAGTAGTTAGAAGACAGAAGCATGGACAATATACTCTGCTCCACGTCTCCTCTATGTTTGTCCTTGTATGTGCAGTCTGAACTGCCTAGAGGAAAAACTGCCTCAGGTCTGCATATGCATGGTGAGTTCAGAGTTCTGGTTGCAGCCTTGGTGCATTTTTTTGAAAGCACTGAAGCTGGTTTAAGTTTGAGGTGTTTTATATGTTAGTGGCTCGTTTCAGTCTTCAAGTAAGTACTGATAAATTGAAAATAATAACAATAAAAAGTTATGCTGGCATGCAGCCTGCACTTGTGTTTTCCTGCCTTTTCATTTTTTTTAAAAGTTTTTTTTAATGTCCATACTCCCAGTGTTCTCCATCATTAGAGTCAAGGTTTTTTTCTGGAGAGACAGACTGAGAAGGTCTGGAGGTCCTGCTGTCACATTTTAGCTTTTGCATCCTAGCTGGTCCTGGGAATAGAATTGAACAAAACTGATTGACTCTGTTATGCCCTGGCAACCTTGAGTACCTGGAGCAGACTTTTGACTGAGTGGTGATCAATGGCTAGCTAGGTAAACTTTGTACAGCTGGTGTTTGCCACAAGGTGTTTGTTCTAGTTTTGAGACCGTTGTTTTTTTCTTGGCTGCTATCAAGGTGGTAATGGCATCAGTCCGTAAATGTGCCTGTGCCCAGCTCATGCATTTGCTCTTTTTGCATTTGCTGGGACAACCCTGAAGGCATTCAGACTGATTTTACCTCAACCTACTTTGAGGTGAGGACGCTTCTCTGCTACTCAGTTTCTTTTTCTTAGCCAGAATGACTGGTGATTTAGCTAAGCAGCTGAGGTGTCGATTTTCAAATGGGTGGGTAACAGCTCTAAAGTAAGCTTTAAACATTTTATTGCTTGCTTGGAGGGGGGCGGGGTTGTGTTTTAGTGGAGGCTGGAATGTTAGCCAAGCCTCCAAATAAAGACCATGAAATTCTAAGCTGGGGGATCCGGCGTGCAACACGGGTTAGCTGAAAGCCAGTCATTTCCCGACGCTGAATTAAAGCTTAGACACAGTGGGTTATTTGACTAAACAACAGAGTTGCAACCCGAAAGCAGGATACTGAAGCTCTTGAAATGAGTCTTCTTTGAGAAGAATTGAAAGGTCAATTGGTCAATTTTAAGGGTGAGTTTCAGGAAAGGCAGCGTTGTACTCAACTGAGTCTTTCTGAGGACCTGACATTGGTTCATCAGAATGACTGTGAACTTCAGCTAGGGGACACAAATTATTTTTAAATTATGTCTTACACTTTTTCTTTGTATAGTAGACTATATATCGCTTTCTTAACTGTTTAGAAATCTGAGGCTAGTGCATTTGCTGAACCTTATTTTTACTAGGTAATGCAGAAGAGGTACTGTTGCTTGAGATTTTTAATATGATTTTCATACTTTTGTTTAAAAGGTAAGTTGGATAGAATGTCCTTGAAGTTGGTAAGGATGTAAGCACTAGAGATTTCTTTCCTAGTTGAACCTAATAGTTTGGGTTAGTTACATACTAAGACTATAATGCAGCTGAATGCTTGGATCTTGATGCTGAATTGTGGGATATGTTTAGTAGCATCAGATACAGATGACATAGACATGCAATTACAAGTTCCCTTTTCCTGATACTAATTAATGTATCAGAGTTAGTCACTACAAGAACAATTGAGCAGCGTGTACATGTGCTTCTGAACATAAACTGTTTTAGGACAGAGGATCTGAAAGCTAGTCTTAATCCATTTTGGACTACCAATCAGGAACACTTGTAATAAGAAACTCAATTTCATTTGTTGAAAGGTGCTGGTTTTTGCAGCGCTGTGAAGGTGTCTTAGATGCTGCTAATGTGTTAAACTTACTGCAAATTAAGCAATGGCATTTCTTCAAAGCTTGGCATGCAGCGAGGTTTCATCTAGCACCAACAACAATTACTGACTTTTAAAAAAAAAAAAAAAGGCATCAGACACCAAAATTCTTTTTCCATCAGCAATCTACTTGCTTTAATTGTTGCTCTTTGAGTCTTCTAGCCCTTATTTCTACCTCTGTAAGGTCAAGATATGGACAGAATGTGGCTTGGCAGTGGCTCTTTTTCACTGCAATCTTGATGCATGCATTTTTCTAAACCTTTTTCGCCCCTCCCCCTTCTGACCTCACACCGACATCAGTCCCTGCCAAAACCTTTCCTCTATATAAGGAGAGCCATTGCAACACACTTTCCCTGCATTTAGAATGCGCACATTTTTCACCTTAGCTCAGGCTTTCCTGAGGCTTGAGCTGCTTTTATCCTTCTGAGACTCCAAACTGATAAGCGAATTTAATTGGAATGGGGTGTGGTCGTTGTTTATAATTAATTACACTGAAATCTAGTGACATAGAAATAGAATAAAATAATCGAATTGTTCGGGTTAGAAGGGACCTTTAAAGGTAATCTAGTCCAGCCCTCTGCATGTGCAGGGGCACCTCCCACTAGACCAAGTTGTCCAAAGCCCTATCCAACCTGCCTTTGAGCACCTCTAGGGAGGGACCATCCACAGCTTCTCTGGGTAACCTGTTCTAGTGTCTTACTGCCCTCATTGTAAAAAAAATTCTTCCTAATATCTAATTCTATCCTCTTTCAGTTTAAAACCATTACCTCTCACCCTATTCTACACACCTTGATAAAAGTTTATCCCCAATTTTCCTATAGGCCCCCTTTAAGTATTTAAAGGCTGCAGTAGGATCTCCTGGTGGAGCCTTCTCTTTTCCAGACTGAACAACCCCATCTCTCTCAGCCTGTCTTCACAGGAGAAGTTCTCCAGCCCTCTGATCATCTTTATGGCCCTCCTCTGGACCTGCTCCAAGAGGTCCATGTCCTTATTTTGCTGGGGACCTCTGAGCTAGAATGAGAATTAATTGGAACAGACAATGAGAACATCTGTTATTGTTTAGATGCCCAGCACATGTAGTATTACACAGCTTGTGTTGCCCTGTGTGAAAACATCTTCCTCAGTGCAAGCTGATCTCACTTATTGTGATTCTGACTTTGGACCTAAAAGCTAACAAGGTCTTTGTACACTTCAGCAGCGCAAAATGACTTTATATGATACTTATTTGTCTTCATGTCTTCAATAAGCTTGTGCTCAACAAAGATGTGAGAAGCTAGCAGCCCTGCTGCTTTGTGTGGTCTCTGTACTGATGTCAGTTCTCACATTTGATGGCTCTGATAGGGTTTTCTCAAAGGAGATTGACTTGTGGCATTCTGTGTTAGATTTTTTTCCCATTCTAAGGGGGTTCTTGAAACATGCAACTTGTTTGTCATAGTTGTCCCCTATACCAATAATAGCAAACAGTCAGTAATATTGACACAATTAGTTTTTCATCTAAGAGGCTGCAGGCCATCTGCTGATTTGCAGAAAATAGCAGCATAGTCACTGCATATCTATTCCAGTACCTTTGGAGGGAATAATAGAAAACACGTCCAATGTAATACATTTTAGTCAAGGAAATAACCACTGAATTTTCTCTGTAAGCACATCTGACTTCTTCTACAGAAGAGTAACTTCACATTTGAAGCCTCTGAGTGCGACATCAGTTTGGTTAGATCCTGTGAGACCAAGGTAGCTAGACTAGCTTGTACCAAGTGGTGCAGAATCGGGTTCACTGTTTACAGGCTTTTACTGTACAGTGTTGGTAAGATGACTGTATTTTGCCGTGTTCACGTAGGTGCCACTGAACTGCTGCTTCTAGCCCGCCGGACAGATTTGAGGAGGATTTCGTTAGACACCCCAGATTTTACAGACATTGTTTTACCACTGGAGGACATCCGTCATGCCATCGCCATTGACTTTGATCCTCTGGAAGGGTACATCTATTGGACTGATGATGAGGTTCGGGCCATCCGCCGCTCCTTCATCGATGGCTCGGGCAGTCAGTTTGTTGTCACGGCACAGATCGCACATCCTGATGGCATTGCTGTGGACTGGGTTGCCCGGAATCTGTATTGGACTGACACTGGCACAGACCGTATTGAAGTTACAAGGCTTAATGGGACCATGAGAAAAATATTAATCTCAGAAGACCTGGAAGAACCCAGAGCTATTGTGCTGGATCCCATGGCTGGGTGAGCGTTTTTTAAATATTAGTCGTGTCAAGAAGATACATTTGTCTACCTGTATGCAGATGCAATGAGAAACTTTGGAGTCTTCAAAATGAAAGTACTAGAATTTTTGGAAGTTAAGGCTCTGAGGCACAGGGACAGTCTCCCTTTGGCTGCCTATCTAGTCATGTTACGTGTCTTTAGGTTTTATTCTTTTGTTAAAAAATATTTTGGGGGACTGTGTTGACCTGTTTGGTTATTTTTACCTAATAGCACTGATTATGTCATGTTGCTGACCAGACTGCTACAGGAGTTCTGTGTAGAGGGACAGTGTGTTTACATGTCAATGGTTTGGCCATTCTTTCTTAGAGGAGGAAATACGTTTGGCTTAGAAATGTACTTTTCTTTGTGCAGTATAGTTTTGAGGAATCGAAACTTTCTTTCTTTCGAGTCCAGAAGAAGCTATGTGAATATTGAATGTTTGGATTAATGTAAGTTCTAAAGATTTTGTTTCCTTTGTTAGGTACATGTACTGGACTGACTGGGGAGAAATTCCAAAGATCGAGAGGGCAGCATTAGATGGCTCAGACAGAATTGTGCTGGTGAATACCTCTCTTGGCTGGCCAAATGGACTGGCACTGGATTATGCAGAAAGCAAAATATACTGGGGAGATGCCAAAACAGACAAAATAGAGGTTTGTAATTACACCTGCATTTTTAATTCCATGGAATTACTTTACTTTTCTAGATGTTTAAATTCTCATACAGTGCAAACGGGCAATAGGATAAAGGGTGAATTGTGCCTAAAGAAATAATTGTTTCTTTTTCTGTCTTATGGCAAGTTACTATTTTTCCTCCATTTTCCTGTGTGTAAAATGGAAATTAGATCCATGTAGTAGATCTGTCTTTTAAAAAATGTATGATAAGGGTTTGGTAAATAAACCAGTTCTTAGGTCATCAAGGAAGAAAGCTTTTTACTGGGAGTAATGTCTGTAGGTTACAAAGAAATTATCTTTCATTCTTTGTACTGCTCAGTTAGATCCTAGCAGAACATATTTTGAAGAAATAAATCTCATTTCACATACAATAATTTCTACTCCCACAAATCCTCCATACTTTGCATCTCCCTTGTTTTATGATCATTCCAGTGAAGGGACAGATTTTCCTTCCTTTCTGGTATGTTCTGCGGAATCTTTTAATTGAAAACAAAATGGCTTTTTTTTCTTCTCTCCCACTGAAAATCTTGTGTTTATTTTGTTATATAACATTTATGGAACAATTTGACCTTTATTGTCTCTTTGTCAGCCTTTGAGAAAATAGTATTGTTCCGTGTTTGTTCAGTTTACTATCAAAAGGCAAAAGTTTTCCTGTAAGCAAGAGACTTGGCTACTAGTGCATAGTAGCACCATCTACCTTTGTTACATCCTGGTAGATTTACCTTTCTTTTAATGAATTGTAGCTTTCCTTTGTGAATGCTTGCCATTACAAATGATTTTCAATACTTACGATATTAGGCACATTATCTTCTCTAGTCCTATGAAATGTTTTTCTTTATTGTTTTAAATAAGTCAATGTGAAGTCATAGTCATGTGCCAGAATGTCACATATCTGTTTGTTCTCCTTCAGAGTCAAAGTAACTCCAGTCCTGCAAGGTGAGTTGCTTTGAAGCACTTTTTGGGAGAGCCTCAGGGAGCATGGTTTTCTTTCACCTGAAAACAAGATTTATAGTCTGTAATTCACTTAACATTATACTAGCTCTGAGAAAAGAGGGGGAAAGTGTCTTAGCTGTGCTTAGAGATTTATTTATAACAGATTGACCATTTCAGGCCTGATACTGTCTTGGACTCTGATGTATTTTGTAAAAGGAAGGTTGGGCATTCTGCACTCTCATGCTTGCCAAAGCATTGAGATTTTTACATGTGCTTCAGTCTTACTCAAACCATGGTTCCATATTTGTTAAAAATGATTCTGTTCAGTGCTGGACCAGTTTGTAACAGAAAATTTTATCTAGATAGGCATGAGCTCACTGCTGCAATTCTGTCAAACTGGCTAGAACACATGATATAATGTTTATGCCAACATTACTGTCTCTGTGGCAGGGACAGAAGATATCTGATCTGGCACAAAGTCTGCTGGAACAATTTCTGCTTCATTGTTTTTAAATCAACGTGAGCCAGCAGAATGAATTTGTTCCAGGTTGTCATGCAACATCTATTCGGAGCATTGGAGAAGATTTATCATATTAGGGTTTCAGAATTACTAGTTATTTTACCCATGAGGCTTCAAGTGCTAGAGTTATAATTCTAGTGCCACTGCTTTTTATAAAAAGTTAACTTTTATTAACTCTTATCAATGTGCAGAAAATCTTGAAAAAGCCTGGCTCAAGCCTTTAAAGCAACAGAGAAGAAATTCTACTAGTTTTTCTTTGATGTTTTTGGATTTTAATTTTGTTTAAGGATTTGGGTTTGGTTTTTTTATTGCAGATGATGTTCATTTAGGGGTATATGACGGGTCTATAAAGCGAAGAAAATATGTTTAAGGTGACTGGGACTTCCTACACACACCTTTTTTGGTAGAAAAAAATTGGCATTAATAAATGATACTGGCAGATGATGACTGCGGAACAAACAAAAACAAACGATTCTTCAAACAGTGTGTGGTAGATTGTGGAAATTGTTGTGGATGTTAAAAACTTACATGTGTTACTGGGAAGATGGGCAAGTTTGTGGAAGGAAATTCCACTGCAGTTTACTAGGAAATAGAATTGCCTTCTCAGCCACAAATCACTAAGCTGTAAATTGCTGTAGAATGAAAAAGGCTTCTTGGAAAGTTTCAGTATGCATTTGCTTTATTATGCTACTCCATAAGCATAAGTTTCGATTATTCTCTGAAATGGGATGCTGGGGTGGGTGGACCTTGCGGCTGAATCCATGCAGCCTTTCTCTTTTCCTGTGTTGAGGTCATTCTAGTCCTTGAAGGTTGGGGAGTCTTTCTTCTCTTGGCTAGTTGCATTAGCTTTAGGAAAAACTTCATGTTCTTCCTTAGATATATTATTGCTGCTTATTAAATGCGCTTGAGAGTGACAGAAATAGGTTGATAATCAATGACCTTTGATAGTGATAGAGCAGACTGTGAGTTCAGTACAGCTTCTGTAATTAGTAAAGCAGGGAAAGGCTCTATAGGATGAAGAGGGAATGTTCATCCAAGAGAATGGTTCAGTCTAAAGTAGATTATATCGTCCTCCATTCCCCCAGTGTGCTAAGTAATGCAAATGTACTGGTGAGTTTCTTTACTGATCAAACAGTGAATTTTCTGCAGAATCTTGCATGGCCTCTGAAGTCTTTAGACAGATTGATTTTGTTGTGGTAGGCTACAGAAATCTCAGGCTGCAATGAAACAATCTAAATCTATGATAGCTAAAATACTACTAATATTTCAAGTCTTTCCTTTTTCTCCTATTGCCTTTCTCTCCTATGGCAACTATGAATTCTGAGGAGATCTGTAACACTTTCCCTGCCCTTCCCATCCATTTTTTATATCAGTATAATAGAAGATGTTTTGACCTTCAGTAGATGTTTTAAACTTGTATTAGGAGAAAGGACACTGAAGGAGGTGTAATGAAGAGGATATTTGTGACAGGATCAAAAGATGAAACTTGGAATTGGACATAAAGTCATTAGAATGGTCCCTGGTCCCTGCTTTACTTGTATGTGTTTGTATTTATTTGGGAGCAGGGGTAAAAAATCAGGAAAAACATGTTTTGTGGTTGCACTCTGTTGCCTTTAAGTACTTTTTTCATACATTATTTTACACACATTGTGCTTTTTGATGCTGTTTTTCTAGTACGTGGAATTCCTCAGAACCATCATTTAATTGCAGCGCTACCAAATGAATGTTTCTTGCAAGCAACGTTTCTGGCTTGTTTGTGCTATGTATGAGCTTTTATTATTTATTTTTTACACACTGATTCATGCTATACTGTTCTGGAGCCCCCAGACGATAATAAAGCATCAGCAGGGGTTAATGGAGACTGGTAGGGGGTACAGCAGGGAGCTTTTGTTCCCATTTTATCTGGCAGCCTGCAGCAGGCAGAAGCAGGCTGTGGCTCAACAGCTTCGTCATTTATCTCGGTCAGGTTTCACTGCTGATAAACTTCTATTGAAATGGATGGCTGCTATTGTGCTTACCAGTAGGGAAGATTTCTCATTGACTTGCTACAGGTTTAAAGCGTTTTTCCTGCCGTGCTATGAGGTTAAAAATGTATGATGTGCTCTGTTGAATTGCTCTTATGTTTTCCTGCTCAAGTGAATATTTGTCTTCTGAGCACGTACGCTACCTGTTTTATGGCACAGGTTGGATTTTAAATGGTTAGCAAAGCTTGGATTGATCAAGCAATTGTGAATGGCTGGATGCAGATGCAGATGTGTGTGTTAAGAGGAAATAATGATGATATGACTAATTTTTCACAATTTTGCAGTCTTTGCTTCATTTTTCTTTATTTATCTTCCTTCCTGTTCTCCATTCTCCGAGCCAGAGATGACACCCGCTTACACCTACTAGTGGTGAGCTTAAAGAAAGGACTCTGCCTCCCATGCAGATCCAACCATTATGTAGTGTAGTGATCCTTGAGTGCAGCTCTACTTGAAGTGTTTCTACATTCCCAAATCTATTAGCCGTGCCTGCCATTACTGTCTCTAATCCTTATGATTAATATGGAAAGTCTTATAACCTGCTGGTTTTCAGCATAAGTACACACGAGTCTTCAGAAACCAGCCTTGTCATACAACAGAACATGGGTGCTGCCAAGACTCTTTTGAGTACAAAAATCTTGAACAGAAAAGACCTTTTTGTGTTTGACCGAGGAGGTAATAGCTTGGCATCTAGAGAATGCTCTAATTCATATTCTAATCCTGAAATTGCAGGGCTACATTTTCCTCCGATGACAACTCTCTCAATTTTGCTGCCATCCTAATAAGGAAATTTTGTTTTCTAAGCATTCACCATTTATTTTCCAACTGAGAAATTTTGTCTCATAGCATTAGTCTTTGTATTGTGAAATGCTGATGACTTGTAAACCTGATTACTGATCCTGTCTCATCCACCTTTAGTTTGAAGCAGAGGTTTGAACATTGAGAATTGGAAACCATTGAATTCCTAGCTGTTGGACACAGCTGCTTTTGTGTCCTTCCATTAAACTTTTGCTGGTATGAGAAGTAAGGTAGCTGAAACAAATATTTGAAGTTGCTTTACTGTTTAATTTTGGCCACAATTCATTATCCACCTGATTTGGATAGTTGTGGCACATGGGGACTTCATTCAGCAAAGAAGTGGTGTGTACTGCAGAGAGCAGGGGCAGATCCCTTGTCTCCATCCCAGTTTCAGAAATTTAAAGCTTACTTTGTCAGAGAATTTCCAGCTATTTCTTAATGCCTGCTAGACATTACAGATTTTTGAAAGTAGTAGTAGATTAAGGTAGACTATTTTTAAAAAATAGTAGTAAACTATTTAAAGCAAACAAAAAACTCAACAAAACCCAAAGAATTAGTCTATATTTTTTGTAATTGCCATTTGGGAGATTTCTTCTGAATGAATTTAGGGAAGAATTATGTTTCATGATGTAGCCCAAGACTGGAAAACTGTTACAAAGCGAACAAGTGACAGCCATAAAGAAGATATTAATAAGTCTTCTGACTGT